TTACATTGTAGGGATATAGCACGCATAACAAGACCAGCAATCTTTGTCCTTGTGGGAACTTTTTTGTGTTAGTGTTAATGTATATTTGTGTACTTGTGTTTGTTAATATTTGTGTGTGCGTGTGTTCGTATGTGTGTGTGTTCGTGTTTGTGCTTGTGTTGACTCACATGCTGGAAGCAGCTGCGGACGCTGGGCTCGATGTTGCTCCCGCCGAACGCTGCCACCTCGCCCAGCTGCCGGGGGATCTGAATGGCATCATGCAGAAGGAGACCCAACTGCCTCTGGTCACACGTCCCGCCCGCAGACGCCACCTGATTAAACAGACCTGACACACACACACAACAAACACTTTAAAACTCTGAACCTCTACATTTACATCATCATGCTCTAGGCTTGCTTAGAGAGATGTAAAAGATGTGAGCACGACAACCCCTTCCAGAGCCTCTTCACAAAGAAAATAATGGAAAAGGATGCAGGAGAGTGAGTTTAATAAACTGTCTATAGCAGTGGTCCTCAAACTTTTTTCATCAAGTACCACCTCAGAAAAAAATTGTCTCTCCAAGTACCCAGTACTGAAATACAGTAGCATAGTAAGCACAATAAAGCAGCTACAGTTCTATACAGTTCAAAAACGTGGCAGATTAATTCCTATTATTAAGAATATTTATTATTGTCAGCCACTTTAAACATAAATAGTCTGAACGTTAACACTGTAATGTGCTTATATGTAAAAAAACAAAAAAAAACAATAAAAAAAAGTCAACATTTAAATTAAAATGTGTAAAAGGTAAAAAGAAAAGAGCTTTACTTAAATGTAAAGTATTAACATATGGTAGCCAATTCATCAACACCTGAAAATGTTGCCTGGACCTCAGAAATGTAGGCTATATGTGTCATATAATGAATATTATTATATGTCATATTCATATATAAATAATTTTTTAGACATTTTGAAATATATGTAGCATGTACATATTACAAATTGGATTCCTCCGCGTACCACTAGAAGTACACGTACACGTACCACAGTTTAAGAACCACTGGTCTATAGGAAACACTCTGACACCCAAAACTTGCACCAGTTTTTTTAACATTTGCACCAGACTCTAAGAAGAAAAAAACAAAGATGAAGACAATAATGAAGAAGAAGAAGAATGAGAAGAAAAACAAGAAGAGCATCTCTGAGCACAAGACACCAAACCTTGAAGAACTACAGCAGAAGAGAAGGAAGAGAAAAAAGAGGAGGAGGAAGAAGAAGAGGAATCAAACCTTAATAGTTTAACAGTTGAACTGCTGCTGGTATTCAGTGGTGTAAAGTAAACTAATTACAAATACTCAAACTACTTTAATTGAGTATTTTTTACTCAGGAATTGTAATTTAGTAAGTAGTTTTATAAATGTGTACTTTTACTCTCGCTTGAGTACATTTTTAGTGCTGTATCTGTACTTTTACTCCACTACTTTTCTTCAACCTGCAGTCACTACTGTATTATTTCTTGTCTATGGGGATTAGAAAAATCAGTCCTGTGACTCCTGTCCAATCAAATCTCACATAGAAGGTAAATAATGAGCTACCTCAAAACAGGGTTGATCTAAAGAAATATATCAATGCAATTCAAATTTATAATATATGAAATGATGTTTACTTTAAACTTTTTATAAAAATATATTTATGTTATTCAATAATAATGATTTATATATATATATATTTTTTTTTTTTTGTCAAATAATTTTGTGGCATCGGTAATAATAATCGGTTTAAGCATCATTTTGGCACCGGTACTGTTTAAAAATATTGATTCAGCAGCGGTATTGAAATAACCCCAAACGATTGCCAACTCTACCTCAAAACATGTGCGCTTTATAATTGCAGCAAACTGTTTGGAAGCATTAAAAGTGTACACGATGTCCAAAATCTGTTAAGATGCAGGTCACTGATGAGAAGATGACGGATGTTTACTGTATGATGACCGAAATGGCCTGAACATCCAGCAGCAGATGTCATTATGATGTCAGAATGAAGTTGTACCCCAGTGTCATGGGGATGTTGCATTTTGTTTTTCCATGAAATATGCAAGTGTCAGCAAAATGACGTTGGATGTTTGCTCGACATTGAATTTTGGTCACTTCAAAACACAACCTTAAGTCAACCAAATATCAACGTCATTTGATTTTGTTATTGAACAACTAGCGTTGTCCTTAGATGCTGACTAGACAATCATTTATTCATTTTCTTGTCGGCTTAGTCCCTTTATTAATCCGGGGTCGCCACAGCGGAATAAACCACCAACTTATCCAGCACATGTTTGTACGCAGCGGATGCCCTTCCAGTCGCAACCCATCTCTGGGAAACACCCACACACACACACTCATACACTATGGACAATTTAGCCTACCCAATTCACCTGTACCGCATGTCTTTGGACTGTGGGGGAAACCGGAGCACCCGGAGGAAACCCACGCGAATGCAGGGAGAACATGCAAACTCCACACAGAAACGCCAACTGAGCCGAGGTTCGAACCAGCGACCTACTTGCTGTGAGGCAACAGCACTACCTACTGCGCCACTGTGTCACCGCTGACTAGACAATCTAACCTAATATTAACGTCCTATGATGTGGTGTGCCTGCTGGCCAACAACTCGATGCACCACTGAATGTTACGTTTCCACACACATGCACAAATTACATGTAAACATATCAGCTTTTCACAGCGTAATACTCACTACTCATTACTCTTGAGTATTTTTGAAAGAGCTACTTCATACTAATACTTTGAGTAATATTCACAACAGATACTTTTACTTTGCTTTTACTTTTGCACTACATTTTTAAGCAAGTAATGGTACTTTTACTTGAGTATGATTTTTCAGTACTCCTTCCACCACTGCTGGTATTTGAAACAATCCAAGCTCATCAGTGCCCTTACTAGTGCCTGTGTTCATGTACACGACCTACTGATACATGATCTTTGAAGCTAGGGATCTGATGACAGAGTTTCTGTCTCTGAGTGATGTGCTGCATGTGTGTGGTGGGATGTTCTGATCTCTGCATTCATGAGTGTAGTCTGGCTTCAGTCCAGTTGCAGGGTTTACAGAATGTTCTGTTTGTCGAGGTGAGAGCACGGGCTGAGTGTTAATCCCCTCACAATGGCCTTGTCTTGTATTGTCGTGTTCTGTTGGGCTCACGGTTTCTGTTTTCCACCGCTTTGTGCTTCCGTGTTATTTCATGTCTTTTGTGGCGCATGGCTGGTGTGATCTTCAGTGGGCAACATGCTTGTGTGATGTTTCGCATTGTGAACAAGCAGCTTGTGCGTTTTTCCATTAGATGCCAGCACTTCTGTCATCTTTTGTTAGGGCACATGGCTTTGTTTGGTTTCTTTTCTATATGCCAGGGGTAGGAAGTGCCACAGTCCTGCAGGTTTTTAAACCGACCATACCTGCCAACATTTACTTGTGATTAAAGAGGATGGGATAAGGTTGGGATATCTTGGATGGGAGACTGTACCAGAGTTGAGGACTGGGGGCTGGGGGTTGGATGGGTTGACAGATTGTACCAAAGAGAGATAGGTTGAGAGATTGTACCGGCAGCTAGCTCTCCGCAACTCTCACATGGTCACCCACTAAAGCTAAGCAGGGCTGCGCCCGGTCAGTATCTGGATGGGAGACCACATGGGAAAGCTAGGTTGCTGCCGGATGTGGTGTTAGTGAGGCCAGCAGAGGGCGCCCAACTTGTGGTCTGTGTGGGTCCTAATGCCCCAGTATAGTGATAGGTACTCTATACTGCTCAGTGAGTGCTGTCTTCTGGATGAGACGTTAAACCAAGGTCTCTGTGGTCATTAAAAATTCCAGGATGTCCTCCTAACCCTCCCCATATCACAATTGGCTTCATCACTCTGTCTCCTCTCCACCAATCAGCTGGTGTGTGGTGTGCGGTCTGGGGCAAAATGGCTGCCATCACATCATCCAGGTGGATGCTGCACACTGGTGGTGGATGAGGTGAGGAGTTTTCCCAAGAAAAATTACAAAACGGGAGGGTGGCGGGAGATGGGCGGTAGATACAGGAGTCTCCTGGGAAAACAGGGAGGGTTGGGACAGTACCAACATTTGAGGATGGGGGCCGTGGGGTAGAGGGGGAGGGGGTCGGTATAATAAAAATTACAGGAGTTTTCTGGGAGAAAAAAAACAGGACAGTAGTGGGAAATGGGTGTGGAATCTGATGAGGGGTGGGGGTGTTGTAGGGCGTAAAATACAAATTATGTGAGATTTCCGGGAGATATAACAAAATAGGAGGGTTGCAGGAGACGAGTGTGAAATATGGGAGTCTCCTGAGAAAAACAGGAGTTTTGGGACAGCACCAATGTTCAAGGATGGTGGTTGGGGTGGTGTTGTGTGTCCTATTATAAACTACGGGAGTATTCTGGGAGAAGCAACAAAACGAGAGGGTGGTGGTAGATGGGATTGGAACAAGGAAGTCTCCCAGCAAAAATAAGAGTGTTGGGGCAGTACCAACATTTGAGAATGGGAGTGGGGTGGTGGTGGGTGCGGTATAATACAAATTACGGGAGTTTTCTGGGGGAGGTAATAAAACGGGGGCGTGGCGGAAGATGGATGTGGAATACGGAAGTCTTCTGAGAAAAACGAGAGTGTTGGGACATCAGAATGGGGAAGAAAGGGGATTTAAGTGACGTGGCATGGTTGTTGCTGCCAGACGGGCTGCTCTGAGTATTTCAGAAACTGCTGATCTACTGGGATTTTCACGCACAACCATCTCTAGGCTTTACAGAGAATGCTCCGACAAAGAGGAAATATCCAGTGAGCGGCAGTTCTGTGGGCGCAAATGCCTTGTTGATGAGGCCAGAGGTCAGAGGAGAATGGCCAGACTGGTTCCAGCTGATAGAAAGGCAACAGTAACTCAAATAAGCACTCGTTACAACCGAGCTCTGCAGAAGAGCATCTCTGAACACACAATACGTCCAACCTTGAGGCAGATGGGCTACAGCAGCAGAAGAGCTCACCGGGTGCCGCTCCTGTCAGCTAAGAACAGGAAACTGAGGCTACAATTCACACAGACTCACCAAAACTGGACAATAGAAGATTGGAGAAACGTTGCTGCTCTGATGAGTCTCCATTTCTGCTGACACATTCGCATGGTCTATGGTTGATGGACCTGTGTCCTGAGAGCTTCAGAGTGGTTCAGTAAGCTCAATTGTGAGTCACACACACACACACACACACAAACAGAGCTCAAGGTCAGCCAACAAGCAAGAGGCTGAAGCCTGTGTGATTGTCTGTCACTCAGCGAAACACTACAAACTGCTGACTCGAACCCAAACCACTGACCGAAAACACAAAACACACGCTTTCCATCCCAACATGCATCACTCTTGAAGTCTGCGGCACCAATCACATGGAGCCGCTAAACTAACACACACACACACACACCCTGAGTCACCACTGAAAACAGCCAAAAGCTCAATTATAGAGCGGTGCATCATGGGTATAAGAAAAACACTTGAAATCGACCAGCAAATAAGCCAAATATACACACCGCACACACACACTGCTGGCACACACAATCAATGCACTGCAAAACAGAACAGAAGGCTGCATTGTGCTGCTGTTGTTGGTGTGTTTGTGCAGAATCTGAGCTTACATTTATATTTCTCCTCCAGATGACCCTTGCAAAGAGAGAGCAGACCAATCTTCATGGACAGAACGCGGATTTTCCCGCTGCGACCCCTGTGGCAGAAAAAAAACACAATATAAATGAGAGAAAAACACACGGCACACATCTGAACGCAGCGCACTGGAGGAGATAAAGCACTGAAGGTCAGACGCTGAGCACATGTGACAACAAAATCAGCACATTACACCAGTTTCACCAAATTTACACGGGAAACTGCTTTGAAGAAAACCCAAGACCTCAAGTATTCATTAACACAACTGAAAGGCATGATTAGAAACATGATTAAAACTTAGGCTGTACTCTCACTATGTACAGTTGCCTTAATCCGGGCCAAAGCACGCTTGTCCCCCCTCCCGTCTCCCCCGACGGCCCGCACTCACATTCAATCGGGCCTGGGTGCTCTTACATTATCGATGATGCGCTGTTCAGTGAGCGCTCTCGCTCAGCACAGTGGAGATTTCTCTAGTTATATCGTGTCAGTGGTTTGATATGCAGTCAAATATTTCGCCAAACAGTCCTTAGGGATGCGGGGACACACAGTCAGATATTTCCCCGAACAGATCCGCCACTTTTGGCGCTCATAAACAATCATAAAGCCCTCGTGCTGCAGGAATGAGGAGGTCTGCTGAAGGTGCAGCTGTCGTGCAGTGAGGGGTTTCGTCTTTAATAAGCTACGGCAGTTTGCGTTCACTGAACAGTAAGAATGATTAATAAATACATATGAAACAGCCCCAAAAGTCACGTCTCGCTTTCAGGCTCAGGCGAGCTTTGCATTAGAGGTCTGCTTTCCCATGGCTGTCCCGTGGGCGCCGCGGGACCCGACCAGATTTCTAAATTTCCGAATAAATGGTGGGAGCGGTCGGTAACAGGTTTAATTTGGGACAGGAGCGGGCTGTCTAGCAATATCGCGGATATTGCTATGCGAATGAGAGAGAGAGAGAGAGCTTTGCCTGTGTGTGTGCTTGGTGCTTGTGTGTGTGTATGTTAGTGCGCGCACGCGCGAATGAGAGAGAGAGAGAGAGAGAGCTTTGCCTTTGTGTCTGCTTGGTGCTTGTGTGTGTGTTAGTGCGCACGCGCGTATGAGAGAGAGAGAGCTTTGTCTGTGTGTGTGTGCTTGGTGCTGTGTGTGTGTGTTTATACAGACAGCTTGGCTGTCTGGACTGTATAGCTGGGTGATTTTCGGTTTTGTTCTTTAGCGGGATCGGGCGCGGCGGGCAGAAAACAGGGCGGGTTCTTAATATAAGCGGGAGCGGTCGGGTTCGGGCTAAAACCTGGAAGGTGCGGGCGGGAGCGGGATTCAAAATTTAGTCCCGCGCAGATCTCTACTTTGCACTCACACTACAAGCATACCGCGCCAAAGCCCAAGTGAACCGCGCTCTGGCACACCTCTTCCAACCGGGCCAGGGCCGGCCAAGTGAACCGCGCTTGAGCCCGATTTAGCACACTCACACTTCTCAAACCATCTAGAAAACAGGTCTGGGCACGGTACGGATAGCATAGTGTGAGTACGCCCTTATTTACAGGCGCGCTTCTATAGTCCAGAAATTACGGCAGATCTTCAGCTCACTTTAATGTACAGTTTAATGTACAGAAAATTGTAACTATTTTAAAATGCTTTCCAAGTGCTTTTTCCAGCACATTTTTAAACATGATAGTTTTAATATTTAATTTCTTTTGTCTTTGCCATGATGACAAAATATTCCTCAGAGATTTTGCTCCATATTGTCATGATAGCATCACACAGTTGCTGCAGATTTGTCGGCTGCACATCCATGATGCCAATCTCCCGTTCCACCACATCCCAAAGCTGCTCTATTGGTTTGAGCTCTGGTGACTGTGGAGGCCATTTGAGTGCAGTGAACTCATCGTCATGTTCAGCAGTCTGAGATGATTGAGCTTTATGACATGCTGCGTTATCCTGCTGGAAGTAGCCATCAGAAGATGGAGACACTGTGCTCATAAAGGGATGGACATGGTCAGCAGCAATACTCAGGTAGGCTGTGGCGTTGATGCTCAATTGGTACTAATGGACCCAAAGAAAATCTCCCCCACACCATTACACCACCACCACCAGCCTGAACCGCTGATACAAGGCAGGGTGGATCCTTTAAATTTATTTGCTATACTTATTACATTTATAAGCAAAAAAAAGATTAGAAGTGTGTGTGTGTGTGTGTGCGCAGGACGTACGTGTCGTAGACGTTGAGCAGCCAGTTGAGGCTCATGTCCACACACAGCGGCACGTTGACCAGGTCTTTGTGCTCCTGCTCCAGGCCGTCATACACTGACGTCAGACAGTTGATGATCTCTGGAACCGAGAGCTGCTGAGAGTTCACTGTCAACTTGTGCTGCTGGAACATGGACTGAGCAACACCCAGATCCAGGAGATCCACTGAAACACACAGTCAGAGAGAGAGAAAGATGTCAGAAGCGAAGTCACGCACACACACACACACACACACACACACACACACACACACACACACACACACGCACGCACAAGCACAAGCACACATGCACACACACACACAGAAAGAAACCCCTGCTCACACTTCATTATTAGACCAATTAACAGCTCCAAACACACACACACACACACGCGCGCAAATCAAGAGGACATGAGGTGTGTAGGCAGTGCAAGATATCCAACACAAACACTCTGTGTGTTGTTGATTGGGGCTCTGTGAGTTAATTAAGGTGATGGAGTGAAGTAACACATCCATGCAGAGCTAAACATAAGCACACACACACACACACACACACACACACATACAAACACACTCATTAGCATACATACACATGCACACACAGACTCACATGTGCACATACAAATGGAGACTCATATGCACACACGCACGCACACCCACCAACACACACACACACACACGCACACATGCACACACACACATTCACTCACATGCACACAATCACATGCACACACAACCTCACGTGCACACATGCACACACACACACTCATGAACGTACACAGAAACTCACATGCAAACTTGCACATGCTCACACACACAAACAAACACACACAAACACACTCATTAGCATACATACACATGCACACACAGACTCACATGTGCACATACAAATGGAGACTCATATGCACACACACACACACACACACACACACACACACACACACACACACACACACGCGCACATGCACACACACACACATTTACTCACATGCACTCAATCACATGCACACACAACCTCACGTGCACACATGCACACACACACACACACACACACTCATGAACGTACACAGAAACTCACATGCAAACTTGCACATGCTCACACACACACACACACACGTGCGTACACATGCATACAAACACTCACATGCAATCATACTGATGCACGCACACAAACACCACACTCATGTGCGCATATACACATGCAAACACACACACACACACACACACATTCACTCCCGTGCACACATGCACACACAAACTCACGTGCACACATACAGACTCATGAACGCAGACATACACACTCATGAACGTATACAGAGACTCACATGCAAACTTGCACATGCTCACACACACACACACACACAGGTGTGTACTCATACATACATACAAACACTCACATGCAAACATACTGATGCACGCACACAAACACCACACTCATGTGCGCACATAAGCATGCAAACAAACAAACACACACACACACACACGCGCGCACACATACACACACATACACTCACGTCCACACACACTCTCATGAACGCACAGACATACACACTCATGAACGTACACAGAGACTCACATGCAAACTTGCAAATGCACACACACGCATGCACGCACGCGCACACACACAAACACGTCCACATAGACTTACAGCAGAGAGCTTTCTGCAGCCG